GTGTACCACTCAAGCTTAGAGAGATGACAGGAAGATACACCATTATTTCAGTAGAATTGCTACAATATTAGACAATTAAGGAAGCATTTATACAAATGGGAAATATTTTATTGGTGTGATCAACATCCTCTGCATTTTGATTCTGAGACTAGCTTTAAGAGGTATAGCTTAAAATACAGAATGATATAATTGGAAGGGACGTTGGAGGGGAACTAATCCAACCCCCTGCTCAAGCAGAGGACCCTACATCATTTCAGACAAGTGACCATACAGTCTCTTCTTAAACATTTCCATTGGCGAAGCACCCACAACTTCTGAAGGCAAATCATTCCACTGGTTAATTGTCCTCACTGTCAGAAAATTTCTCCTTAGTTCTAAGTTGCTTCTCTCCTTGATTAGTTCCCATCCATAGCTTCTTGTCCTTCATTCTGGTGCTTTGGAGAAGAGGTTGACTCCCCTCTTTTTTGTGGTAACCCACTCAAATATTGAAGCGCTGCTATCATGTCACTCCTAGTCCTTCTTTTCTCTAGACTAGCCATACCCAATTCAAATACAAAAAAAGTGAATTTGTGCTAAGAGATTCTTACTAATGTTTTTTTAAGGAAAATCAAATTATCCTGCCCCCCCATGTCAATACGTATGTAGGTGTGTGTTTGTGTGTGCATATCCATATAATCATTTAGAAATTTACTCCTTGAGTAAAACTAAACTAGGCCATCCACCTGAAAAATCAATGACATGCATATGTTGGCAATTCAAACAGGATCTCTTGCATTATTATTATTTGATAGGTTTTTTTTTTTGCATTTTGCAAAAAACAAGAACAAGAATAGCATCAATCAAAAAGTGAAAGGGAGAAAATCCACAGGGCACTTTGGAATAGGACATGTCAGCAGTGGGATAATTGGTGCTAGGTGGGGGAAATTATTGTCTAGAATGTCCTCAGGAATGCAATTTGCTATGATATTGTCTCTTTGAAATGCGTGAATTAGCTCTTCATCACACCTAATAGGAAATCTTTCACCATCAGCCTTGAAACTGTGTCTATTAAAAAAAGTGCCCCCGCCCCAAAAAAGCAGAAAGCAAAAGTTGGTTGTAGAAAGAGAATTCTTATGGTACCTTTTATCTTTTCTGCCTGGAAAAACAAGCAGAAAGGAAATGCAAGAGGTATTCATACTCTGAGACAATCTGTATTCTGCTTTACAGTATTCATGGTGACTCAGTGGTTAAGACACTGAGCTTGTCGATTAGAAAGGTCGGAGGTTCGGCGGTTCGAATCCCTAGTGCCACATAATGAAGTGAGCTCCCGTTACTTGTCCCAGCTTCTGCCAACCTAGCAGTTCGAAAGCACGTAAAAAATGCAAGTAGAAAAATAGGGACCACCTTTGGTGGGAAGGTAACAGTGTTCCATGAGCCTTCGGCATTTTGTTATGCCAGCCACATGATCACAGAGACATCTTCGAACAGTGCTGGCTCTTTGGCTTTGAAACTGAGATGAACACCACCCCTTAGAGTCGGGAATGACTGGTACATATGTGCGAGGGGAACCTTTATGTTTACCTAATTCCTCCTTTCGACTCTGACCTAAGGAGTCTGACCTGTCATTTGCCACCAATTTTATTGGTGATAAAAATCCCTTCTCTTCCAACTCTTTCCTTCTCAAGAAGTTATCAGAAAGTTAATTGTCAAATCAAATCTTTTATTGGGAAGTGTAATGAGTAATTTTATTGCACAGACTTAGGAATATGAATGAGTTCTGCCTATAACAACTCACAAGAAACCTGTCACATAACTTTGCTGGTTTCAAGATTCAGCTCTGGACCTACCACATTTTCAAGTCACTTTGCTCTGCGCTATTCTTTCCTTAGCTTTGAAATGATTGTCCATCTATCATTTGTGTCACAAACACCTAATGTCTAATGTGAGAGTCAGGTCTCCTGGCTCATCAACTTCAGTTCCTTATAGAATCTGCTGTGTCCTTCAGAAACTTTATCAGGTCCAATTTTAGAGCAATGATTGGGGGTGAAGTTCTATCTGCCATGATAAATTATGATGGCCCTGGCTAAGGTAAATATGGTCTTCTGGAGAATTTTTTTTAAAAAAAATCTCAGTGAGATGGTGTCCAGCTTTGTGCCTACTAAATAAGTCATGGAAAAGATGATAGCCATTATATATTTTTCCCCTCCTTAGTCTGTCATCTGCACCTCTATTACTGTCTGGTTTCGTTCTACAACCCAACAAGACAAACACAGACTTCAGAGGATAATTAGAACTGCAGAAAAAACAATGACTACCAACCTGCCTTCCATTGAGAACTTGTACACTGCACGAGTCAAAAAGAGGGCTGTGAAAATATTTACAGTCCTCTCACATCCTGGACATAAATTGTTTCAACTCCTACCCTCAAAACAATGCTATAGAGCTCTGCACAGCAGAACAACTAGATACAAGGACAGTTTTTCCCCGAACGCCATCACTCTGCTAAACAAATAATTCTTTCACCACTGTCAAACTATTCACTAAGGCTGCATTACTATCACTATTAATCTTCTCATTGTTCCTATCACCCATTTCCTCCCACTTATGACTGCAGGACTGTAATGTCGTTGCTTGTATCCTTACGATTTATATTGATATTGATTGTTTCCTGATTGCTTATTTGTATCTTATGACTATCATTAAGTGTTGTACTTTATGATTCTTGACAAATGTATCTTGTCTTTTTATGTACACTGAGAGCATCTGCACCAAAGTCAAACTCCTTGTGTGTCCAATCACACTTGGCCAATAAAGAATTCTATTCTAGATATTCAGTCCATCCAGAATTTTATAGAATTGGGGGGGAGGGGGGGCAAAATGTTAAAGGCTGATAGAAGCAGAGGTGGTATTCAGAAGGTTCTGTTCAGTTCTGGAGAACCGGTAGTGGAAATTTTGAGTAGTTTGGAGAACCGGCAAATACCACCTCTGATTGGCCCTGCCCCCATCTATTCTCTGCCTCCTGAGTCCCAGCTGATTGGGAGGAAATTGGGTTTTTGCAGTAACCTTCCCCTGGAGTGGGGTGGGAATGGAGATTTTACAGTATCCTTCCCCTGCCACGCCCATGAAGCCATGCCACACCCACCAAACTATGCCCACCGAACCGATAGTAAAAAAAATTGAATCCTACCACTGGATAGGCGGCCTGAAGACTGAATGTCTCAGGGGTTTGTAGAGACACTGAATAGTGGCCACCAGAATGCTACTGTTCCTACATGTCGTATCAACCTTTAAAAAAGGATCATGAAAACTCAACCTTATTGACCTCCTACAAGGCACTAAATCTAAGAGATGGGTTTAGGAAAGGACATACTGAAGCTTTTTCTGAGGAGAACCCCTCCAATTTGTGGCTTAGAATGATTCAGAAAGCACTGAGGGACACAATGTGGGAGAGAGAAACTAAATTCCAGGGATCCCATGGACTGAATTTCTCTGCATGTTTTGAACATGGGTCTCAACCACGGCTAAGCTCCTTTGCTTTTATTTGCATGGGTCTGCCTCAAACCAGAATAAGGAAGCTTTGAAAGTAGAATTTGACTCAATAGATAGAGAGCATGAGGGGATATTCCATTCCCAGCAATCCTACTATGTCATGGAGGATAGGAAGATCACCTTTCTGCACCACCAGAAGTAATTTTATCACCTTGTCACCTTACTGGAAAAATAACAAGAATGAACTTTTCCGATGTCCAAAAGTGCTTTTCAAAAGACATTTTTCTTCTCATCCAAGAAGCTTCTTCAGTTTGGAATGAAGAAGCTTCTTGGATGAGAAATGAAATGTCTTCAAGGACAAAAGCAACAAAGAAGTCCAGTTTTGAAAAGCACCTTTGGGACCATGATCTGGTTGACTGAGAATCTCCACAGAACGTTTCCTATATTTTCCTCCAAAGCTTGTACACTCTACCCTTGTTTTAAAATCTTACCTTCTTGGTTTTGAAGGCAGTCAAGAAAGCCACTTAGTAGTGTTTTTTCTCTTCCTTTTCTGTTCAGGAACCACTACCGAAACTGTGCCCCAGCAGCGGCAGGAGGTCCTCGTGGGAAGTCATGCTATACTCTCACCTTCAGCCTCGTTTTCCCTCACCAGGAAGATGTTTGCTACCTGGCCTACCATTATCCATACACCTACTCTACCATGATGGTAATGCTGCTTTTCTAGACTTTGAAGGGAAGGCTGCATGTCACAGTTGGCCAAAACTGATGGTTAACAAGCATATGGCTATTTGGCTTAATGTGTTATGTAAACCTAGCTATGGACTGCATAGTAGCTGGGCTCTAACTAGTCTGTAAATGTAAGGTTAACCCTCTCTCGAGTTGAGTTAAATTGTTAGTAATTTCATCAGTGGTGGGTTTCAAAAATTGTTCGAACCTACTCTGTGGGTGTGGCCTCCTTTGTGGGAGTTGCTTGCTGCCCTTGTGACCGGATGGGAGTGGCTTGCCGCCCATGTGACTGGATATGAAGATGCCGACGACACTTGTCAGAACCACCTTAAATTACCTCACACACAGCACTGGCATGCATAAGAATATGATGTAAACTTGTTTTTTAAAAGGCATCTTTGGTTTGCGTTAAAACAACTTCAACACACACAATGTTCTGATTGGACCACAAATGCAATAGTCATCCTTACCTTTCACAGAGGCACTGAGTTTTATAAATATGAGCATGATAGTGTAGAATAATCATATCCAAGGACCAGTGGTGGGTTTCAAAAAAATGTGGAACCTCTTCTGTAGGTGAACCTCTTCTAACCGATTCGGTAGATTTGACGAACCGGTTCAACTGAATAGGTGTGAACTGGTAGGAACCCACCTCTGAATTTCATGTATAAATTCATATATTGTTTTGTGGGTAACCATTTTTAAGTGGCTTGCTATAGACCTTCTCGGTGGTTTGCTTTCCAGGTTTACCCTATAGCTCTAAGATTATCAAGTAATCTCCCATTTAATACAAGTCAGGTATAATTTTTCTTGCCTTGCTGAGATCAGCTAGGATCAGGGTGCTGCCATCTATTGTTGGCAAGTAATTTGTAGCTGAATTGTAATAGTGGTGTAATGGATTTCAGGCTAATTCTGCCCCCTGCCAGGAATTTGATCCTGACCCACTCAGCCTTCCACCTTTTTGAGGTCAGTAAAATGAGGACTCAGATTGTTGAGGGCAAGATGCTGACTCTGTGATACACTTAGAAAGGGCTGTAAGGTACTATGAAGCAATATATACCATGTTTTCCCAAAAATAAGACCTCCCTGGATAATAAGTCCAATCAGGCTTTTAAGCGCATGCACTAAAATAAGCCCTTCCCCCAAAATAAGCCCTCCCCCAAAATATTGCAACACTGCAGCAGCCATGAGGTGACCACGCTTGCTGTCTCCTGCACCTCAAAGATAATAATACCGCACTGAAAATAAGGCCAAATGCTTATTTCAGGGGTAAAAAAAAGACCCTGTCTTATTTTGGGGAAACATGAGTAAGTCTAAGTGCTATTGCTATTTCTATAATTTCTTGCATAGTTGGGCAGTTCATGCAAAATTGAGGCCTTCTTTCTAGGATATGTGATAATTTCCAGGGTCAGATAATATATTTAGAGTGCCTTTGTACACTCAGATGCAGAGGTGGTCAAAATGAAATCAATATATTCAGTATGCAAATTGGATCCCAGAGTTTGCAAGAAGGATTAAGAGAGATCCATCGTCTGAATACAGCTCATTAATTCAGATAATATTAATGCCCGTCTAACGAAAAAAATCTAATGACGTCATGGGAAGAGCGAGGTTAGGTCAGCTGAGAGTCAGGAGGATGTTTCTTGATTTATTAGACAGCCAGTCAAGGCTCTGAGGTGAACTAGATGGTGTCCATTTTATTCAGCAAGATTTGGCTGTATGGAAATATCAGTGGATGAGAAAGAGTTAAAAGGAAAACCAAAATAAGGGGGCCTGTTGTGTAAACACTGCTTCAAAAATTACCAACAAAAGGAGTTTTTGCTTTACATTTTTTTTTTAAGGAAAGAAATGCTTCTGAAGTTAGGAGGAGCTTTAGCTTAATTTTAGATTATGCTTCCAATGAATACAAGATTCAGTTGCTGCTGTACTGAGATACAGAGAAACATTCATTTCCTGACATTGCCTGAATCATAATTTCAGTGGATATCTCTGAAGAGATAACTTTGACCGGGGTCACTTAAATAACTCACAGATTTTTTATTACCCCTGCAAAGCTTTTTTTTTTAAAATTCAGTAAAAACCAATTTCATTTTTACAGACTGCATGATTCCCACCCACCCCAAAAGAAAAACAAATTTCATACATGTGCATCACTAGGTTTTCTTTTTCAGCCTCTGTTTGTACAAGTGTGTGTGTGTGTGTGTGTGTGTGTGTGTGTGTGTGTGTAGGTATCATGGGTGCATCTTCTTCCCCCTTTTTGTCTTCAGAGCGGTAATGAATTCTAAGTGGTTTTGCAACCCAGGAACTCAATTACCTGCACTAGGCATTTCGAAAGGCAATAAAATTCCATATGGAAACTGACTTGGAAACTCTTCACAATCTAATATGCATTTAATAACTGCAGACATATTTACAGCACCCTGAGAAGAAGCCGCGTGAAAGACTGGCATTGAATCGTACCATTTCTTTTGAGTCAGAACCAACTGTGTTTTCTTCAAGATGATAACTTCAAATACCGTAACTGCTGATACATCCTTGCTTGCCCAAGCAAGCCAAAACCTCCATCTTTTCATTCAAAAAACACAACAATGCAGAAGGACCTAGCTTTGGTTCAGTCTAATCCAATATTTTTTTGACTATGATCAGTAATATCAAGTATTTCAGGCAGATTTTTCCCCCTGATTTTTTTTTTCATATTGAAGATGGCAGGGACCGAACCAAAGTATTCTGGCCTAGGCTTCCCAAGAGCAGGAAGCAAACTCCTTGTCCCAACAGAAACCCCTTTTATTAATTTACTGTGAATTCTGCTCATTCACATTCCAGCAAAGTCTTTCAAGGAAGGATTTACAGTCACATACCTTCTCTGGCTTGGAGAGCTGCCAGGCCGATATCTACAGAACTTGGCAAGGAGTCTGGGAGAGTCACGAACCAAGCAAACTAAGACTCTCCGGCAAACTCCACTCCTCTTTTGCTCCTCTTTTATTTCCTCTGGGAGGGGCCATTCACCATCCACCTGTGGCCTTACTCTCAAGTCGATCCCTGTTCTTTAGCTGTTTCCTTCATCTGGTAATTCTGCGCCTGAACACACTGGGAACAGGCTCCAGCTGTTCTTCTGCCTCACTGATGTCTGACTCTGAAGGCAGCTGATAACTGACATACGGCTCTGGCCCCCTCTCTGCCTCTGACACAGAGCCTCATCAGAGCCTTCCACAGACTTCATGACTGGCCCATGTTCCTCCCCAATCTCCTCACTGTCTGAATCTGCAGCCAGTTCTGCTGGCCGCTGGTGGGCCGTAACACAAAGATTTCCTAAATGCAAAAACATTTCCTCTACAGCCCGCTTTGCAATTTGCTCAGGGTCAGGAGGTTCAGCGAAAGAAAGTCAGAGACAGACCCAGAGGATGACCTGAAGGAACAGAACTAATAACAAAATCATTTATCTTTCCACTCCTGCAGCTAGGGTGAATAGGTAGTTTAAGTGACTCTCAGTTTGGGTTTTAGGGGCAGGGAGAAGACACTAGATGTAAGTGAAATGGCAATGATCACAATCCCCACATTGTAATACAATGCACAGGTTGTTCAATTGTCATTGGTTTTGCTTCTTTTCAGCAGAATCTGTGAAGATTGGGAGAAGAGAGATACAGAGTAAGAAGAAGAATATTTGTAGCTCAGGGTTGAAATGAGAAGCCCTTGGTGTTCTCTGAGCTTGGTTGTTTTCTTGGCAGATGTTTCCTTACCTAAACTAGGTGACATCATCAATGCTAATACCATGTTTTCCCCAAAATAATAGCAGTTAGCAATAGCAGTTAGACTTATATACCGCTTCATAGGGCTTTCAGCCCTCTCTAAGCGGTTTACAGAGTCAGCATATTGCCCCCAACAACAATCCGGGTCCTCATTTTACCCACCTCGGAAGGATGGAAGGCTGAGTCAACCCTGAGCTGGTGAGATTTGAACAGCCGAACTGCAGAACTGCAGTCAGCTGAAGTAGCCTGCAGTGCTGCATTTAACCACTGCGCCACCTCAGCTAAGACAGGGTGTAATGGCTCCTCTCCTAACTTGAGAAAGTGAAGACTCTTGAAACGGATTATTTCAAAAGGAACCTTTAATCAAGCAGGATGGAAACCATTAGAAGCAAAGCAGCATCTGAAAACCTTTAGGCCATGCAAATGGGATTAACCTGATAATGACCACTCCCCTTTGTCCGAATGCAGATTCTGACCAATACACAAATGTGAAGATGCTTCCTTAACTCTTCTGCCCTGGGAGTCAATAAAGCACACATTCCCATGGCTATCTCTAGTTAGACATCAAAGTTATATATCCCACATGGCTACCATAAACATCCCTCCAGAGATGTTGGGACCTTCAGTCTCCCGGTGACAGGAAACCAGTTGTAAAGTTGTAAAACTCAGTTGTTTCAGATGTAGCTAATGATTTAACTCCGAGGCTCCCCTCCTCCCAATTGAATGGCAGTATCACTTTTAGGGATCTGACACAGGGTCTTACTTTCTTTTAACCCCCAAAATAAGCACTTGGCTTTATTTTTGGGGAGGTCTTATTATTTTTGAGGCGGTGAGTGTGGTCACCTCATGGCTGCTGCTGTGTTGCAATATTTTCAGGAGGGCTTATTTTTTGAGGAGGGCTTATTTTAGCACATGTGCTCAAAAGCCCATTTGGGCTTATTATTTGGGAAGGTCTTATTTTGTGGGAAACAGTGTAAGAAGTGATTCCTCAAATGATGTTACTTAGTTTGGATAATGAAATGTCTGTAAGGAAGCAACAAAGCCCAGAGAGAATAGAATAGAATGTAGAATAGAATGAATGAATCAGCTGGAAGGGACCTTGGAGGTCTTCTAGTCCAACACCCTGCCCAAGCAGGACCCCTCAGAGTAGATGTTGTCTTTCTTTCTGCAGCTTCTGATGCTCAGCTACCACTCAATTTGCCAAGCTGTCTGTGATCCTGGAGTGTGGATAGTACAATTGAAGCATGTCTACTAAGAGGGTAGCAGTCTAGTTAGAAGATTCAGGCAGTTGTAGTTCAACATCTGTGCAAGGCTAAGACATGCTAGTAGAGAAAACCTGACTTAGGTAAGTTGTGAGAAGGCTGGTGCCTCAAAGGGAGGAACAAGGCATTATATCAAATTAAATGCAATATTAAATAATATTATATCATTTCCAAGCAAAAGGCCTTCACATTTGGTTTCATACTGTAGCTGCACTCCATCATTTATCAGCAAGCAGCCAGGAGACCTTTAAATAAGAGAATAGTTTGAATAATTGTTCATGGCATGTTCCCATTATTTAAGGACATTTTCTTGCTTCCTATTATCATAATGTTGAAATCAGGATTCATACAGTAAAATTGTTTACAAACAATAGGAGGAGAAAGAGAGAGCAGGAGAGAGAGAGAGAGAGGGAGGGAGGGAGGGAAGGAAGGAAGGAAATTGTCCTCTGTTAGCTTATGTCATTAACAGTGAGAAGTCTGCCCATGGATCTAGGACTTCCAATTATATATCTATACTCTACAAGGTGTTGGACTAGGTGGTTTCTTTCAGCAGGACATTTTGTAAACTATTACATTTTCATGTTTCAATTTTTACAGTCCCACCTTGACATTTTGGAGCAAACCAGGAATACAAAGAAAGTCTTCTTCAAGAGGCAGACCCTTTGCCACACGTTAGCAGGAAATGCATGCCCTCTGCTTACTATCACTGCCATGCCTGAATCGGAAAGCAGGAATGACCTGGAGCAGTTCCGTAAGTCAGTTCTCTCATTTGCTCGACCCCCTCTTGATCTTGAGTAACGTACATCTGAATATCACAAATGGCATCCAGGAAAACCGTGAGCTGGGTTGACATAGTTCATCCATTTTCATTGCTGTTGAGAAAAGCTCATGTTAGAGAGGTGCCTTGAAGGTGTGCTTGTGGAAAGAGAAAGGTTTGGATCCAAATCATACATTCCATGAGAGAGTTATCTGGATTGATTGTTGTTCAGTGTGCTGTGTGAACCTGTTGTGGCCTGCCAGCGGCAAGCAGAGCTGGCAGCAGATTCGGACAGTGAGGAGGTTGGGGAGGAACATGGGCCAGTCCTGGAGTCTGGGGAAGGCTCTCATGGGGGCTCTGTGTTGGAGGCAGAGAGGGGGCCAGAGCCATATGCCAGTTATCAGCTGCTTCAGAGTCAGACATCAATGAGGCGGGTGAACAGCTGGATCCTGTTTCCTGTGTGCGCATGTGCAGAGTTGCCAGACAAAGGGAATAGGTAAAGAACAGGGGTCAACATGAGAGTAAGGCCACAGGTGGACGATGAATGGCCCCTCTGAGAGGCAATAAAAGAGGAGCGAAAGGGAAGTGGAGTTTGCAGGAGACAATTAGTTCGCTTAATTGTTTCGTGACTCTTTGTGATTCCTTGCCAAGTTTTGCAGATATCGGCCTGGCAGCTCTCCAAACTAAATAAGGTCTGTGACTGTAAATCCT